GCCCTTGCCCCGCGGTTTCCGGAAACTAGTACCTTGAAGGTACTAGTTTTTCACTCCGCATCGTCGGCGGGAAGCCTCGGGTTCACCACGGGAGCTCTACGCTTCCCAGATGTGGCGGTGTGATCGCGCCCGGAAAATCCACCTATCTTCCGTCTCTGTAGCGTGGCTAATGCTCCGTGTGACCGCAGCCAAAATTAGGCTGACAAAATTACCTGACACTCCACAAAGAGCAATATCCCGTTCCCGACAAAAAGAAACCGATAGTTGTGGTATTATAGTCTCAGGAGGATAGCCACGTTAGTCTGCACTAGAAGAGCTGGATTTGAGTCCAGGTAGCACTTTAGAGACCAACGAGATTTGTGGGAAGTCAAAAAGAGCAAGAGTCCAGGAGCACCATAAAGACGAACAACATTTGTGGCGGGGCAGGAGCTTTTGTGAGTCACGGCTCGCTTCTTCAGATACAGCTAGAATCCGCCCTTATATCCTGGAGAGTAGAGCGGTTTTGGATGCCGAATGACAATAGCAGGCGAATGACAATAGCAGGCCTGACTGAATTAGGTGTGATATGCAAAGGGGTGGTAGGCGGGTATCTAATCCAATCAGGCCTGCTATTGTCCTTCGCCTGCTATTGTCATTCGGCATCTGAAACCACTCCACTCTCCAAGGTATAAGGACAGAGGGACTCGCATTCTAGCTGTTATCCGAAGAAGTGAGCAGTGACTCACAAAAGCTCATGCCACACCACAGATTTCGTTACGGTAGAAAAGAGCAAGAGTCCAGGAGCACCTTAAAGTAAAGGTAAAGGTTCCCTTTCCTCGAAAGCCAGTCGAATCCGACTCTAGGGTTGCGGTGCTCATCTCCGTTTCAAAGCCGAGGAGCCAGCGCTGTCCGAAGACGTTTCCGTGGTCATGTGGCCAGCATGACTAAACACCGAGGCGCACGGAACGCTGTTACCTTCCCACCGAAGCGGTACCTATTTATCTACTTGCAATTTCTTGCTTTCGAACTGCTAGGTTGGCAGGAGCTGGAACTAGAGACGGGAGCTCACTCCGTCATGCGGCACACTCGGGTCTCGAACTGCTGAACTACTCACCTTCCACAGCCTGCAGTTCAGCGTCTTAACCACTTGAGCCACCACAGCTCCTTAAAGGCTAACAAAATGTCTTCGGCAATCCGAAGAAGTCAGCAGTGACTCACGAAAGCTTATACCTCGAATAAAACTTTGTTGGTCTTAGAGGTGCCGCTGGACTCAAACCTAGTTCCGCTGCTTCAGACCAACACGGCTTCCCACCTAAATCTCCCGCAAATTGTGTTAAGTCTTTAAGGTGCTGCTCTTTTCTACTGCTACAGAGAGACTAACGTGGCTACCCATCTTGCTGCGCAGGAGGAAGGGGAGGAAGGGGGAAAATAAACTAAGAGCCTCTCTCCGCTTGTGCTGTTCTCCTCCTCGGAAAAGCAAACTGCGGCTGGAAAAGAAAAGGGGTTATTTCAAAACGGGCCCGGGGATCGTCCGGGGATCAAAAGCAGGCCTGCGGATAACCTAACACAAGCGACCCAATTCTTCTTAAAGGGAGACGCTGACAACTGAACTCAGGGCCTTCTGCGTGCAACTCGGGTGGCCCTACCACCATGCTGCAGCCCTGTCCTACGCCTGCAAGAGGTCCTGACGCGAGTTCCCAAACTACCCCTCGTCGGGAGGTTTGACTCACACATCCACAGGTAATACAGCATCTTGCAGATTCGCTGGTAGTCTGCGGGGATGTCTGCAGAGAAGTCCTGGTAGAAGCAGGGCTTCACGGGACAGAGCTTCGGGAGGGGAGGCCAGTTGTTCTGTTTGGCTGTGCGGAGAGAGGAAGGAGAAAAGTCTCAAGAAAGGGTACGCTGATATTTCCTCTTCACACTGTGGCCCAGCGGGGCCAGAAACCACATGTCCCCGCCCCTCCTCCCTTATGTTTGTACAAATCTCGGTTATTGTTTAAACTGTGTGCACCGTCATTTCGGTGAGAAGTACGCGGCCCCGAACATTGGAAATGTAAGCTATAACCCGCTCCCGAGCCCAATTAAAGGTCAAAACTAACACCTTGAAAGCCCTATGTGGCTTGGGACCAGGGTGTCTGAAGGACTGTCTTACATAAGACCAGAGAAGCCAATGTTGGATCAAACCAATGGCCCATCCAGTCCAACACGGTCACACTGTGGCCAAAACCCAGGAACCATCAGGAGGCCCACCAGCAGGGCCAGAACTCCAGAAGCCCTCCCACTGTTGCCCCCTCCCAAGCACCAAGAATATAGAGCATCACTGTCCCAGACATAAGAACATAAGAGAAGTCATGTTGGATCAAGCCAATGGCCCATCCAGTGTCAATACTCTGTGTCACACAGTGACCAAAGCCGAGGTGCCCTCAGAAGATCTAGAAAACTAGTAAAGGGCCAAAAGTTAAAAACATCAATAGGTAAAGACAAAAGTATGTATGTTTATTTCAAAAACATATAAAAACCTTGTAGGGGCCCAAATAAAGCCTCATATAATAATCAAAGTGACAAATGCACAAAAAGAACCATATATGACCTGAAGTGTTTCAGCCCACAAGAGCCTTCTTCAGAGGTCAAATAATACAGAATACAACACGCAACAAAGCCCCTGTTAAACTTGTAAGGCACTAACAAGTAATATAGAACCAAAAATGGAATGTTCCAATCTGGAGTTGAATGACACACACACACACACAAAAATCATTTGTGGGCCACAAAGGCATCTGGCCTTGTGTCAGAAGCAATTACATATATCGGAGATAGTAATGTTGCCAATATGTACCCTCCAGTTTAGGTCGTAAGAGTACAAGTAAATTCGCCTTAGCAGGGGCAACGTAACATCAGTATGACACAATAGCCCTGATAAGGTGATTTTACTTGTATTCTTAGTTTGGTGAATCACTGTGGGCAAACCGGTCACCATCCGGAAGGACTTCCCCGGCAGGTCAGATCGCAAACGATCGCTGCTACCCCTTGCTCCTAACGTGAGACACAACGAAGTTGGCCTGGGCCTTGTGACAACGATGGATGCTACTCACGGTCGAAGCCCGCCGCGCTGTTCTGCAGTTCACGTTCCTTTCTTTCCAACTCTGCGGCCTTCCTTTCTAGCTCCTCCTGCTGTTGAAGAAGGCCGGCCTGTGCCGCTGAGGCCACAGCCTATGTGGGTGGGTGGGGGAAGAAACAATAAATCAAAGAGGGCAGAGAAAAGGGTGTTTCTCTAAGATGAAAAGGGAAATCTAGGGTTTGGAGTGGTGGCCTCGAGAAGAAAGAGAACAGTCCTTAAAGGAATGAATGACCACCAAAAGCACAACCTAGATGTCCTTCCACATTCCAACAGTTCATGAGACCATATAAACAGGTTTTTCAGTCGCTCCTATAAATCGTGAGGTCCAGAAACTTGTGTTTTTCAGGCCCAAGATCTCTGGATCCTACGATAGCTATCAGGAGATTCCTTTAGGGCTCCACTTTATGACTCACTGCAAAACTATGGCCACGTTGAGGAGGAGGAGGAGGAGGAGGAGGAGGAGATTATTGGATTTATAACCCACACTTTACAATCTCCTTTCTCTTCCCCTCCCCACACCCTGGGAGGTGGGTGGGGCTGAGAGAGCTCTTTCCAGAACTGCTCTTGAGAGAACAGCTCCGAGAGAACTTGTGACTGACCCAAGGCCACACCAGCAGCTGCACATGGAGGAGTGGGGAATCAAACCTGGTTCTCCCAGAACTGACTGTACACCAGGAATGAACGCTTCAGAGCAGGGGTCGCCAACATTTCTGAGCCTGTGGCCGCCTTGACGATTCTGACACAGTGCGGCAGGTGCAGCCAACAAAACGGCTGCCCCGGCTTACCCTCGGTCACACAGCGAAGACCGTAATGCAGCGATGGCAGCTGCCGCCCAAGCAACGTTTAAAAAAAAGTATGCACAGCGCATCAAATGTCAAGGGGTCAATGGCAACGCATGAAGGAAAACTGTCCTCTCATTTGCCCCTGGCACAGGGATTTGGATGTACAGTGCCTTAAAGCATGGAGGCTTGACTTATATGGATCCTCGGCCTTTAAATGTGGAGGCTTTCACTGCTCACAGCTATGAGCTGCCGGATCAATTGACTGGTAAGACTGAGGCTGCTCCATTCTCCCATTCCCAAGGTACAAAGATGCAATGAATGAAATATGAACCTTGCTGCAATGTTAACCTTGGTCACCCACTCGATTCCTATAACCCCACGGAAGGGAAGTAAAATATCTATCGTGAATGCCTTCGTGTTTGAAGAGGAGCTTCATGACCTACTCCAGGGGTCCCCCAACAATGCTCCCTCTAAGCTGTGGAGAATCTTGTGGACAGAAATCCTACTTTGCGAGCGACTGGTATTAAAACTGTGAACGAGCGATTTGGCTACTGCATAAATTAGTTCGCTCTGGAGCCCTCCTTCCTGAGCTGAGGCAAAAAATGTGTGAGCCGGAGGCTAAAAAAATCTGAGCTAGCTCGCACTCACTCAGCTTAGAGGGAACACTGCCCCCCCCCAACCTTTTTGAGCCTTGTTGGCGCGGTGGGCGCAGCCAACAAAACGGCCTCCCCAGGAGGCAGAACCAGCCACAAGACGGCTGCCCCGGCTTACCTACAATAATCCAGTGAAGATCCTTGTGCTGCGGTGGCGGCCGCTGCCAACGCAATGTTTTTAAAAACCTGCAGTCAATCAAATCTCCAGAGGCCAATCAGAAGCCTTGCTGGGCAAAAGCCCCACCTGGCCCCGCCCACATTCTAAAAACGCTTGGTGAGTGCCAGGAAACGGTGGGGTGTCATGGTGCCCACGGCAAACCCATAGCCAGGAATTTTTTCAGGGGGGGGGAAGGTGCTAATTAAATTACATTTAAGATCCAGGAGGGAGAGGGAGTGGAGAGAAGGAAAGGTGTAGCAGCTCCTTACCCCGCCCGGCTTTGGCCGGCGCGGCAAGCTCTTCCTCCCCCCCACTGCGCCTGCATGAACCCTTTCCAGCTCGCCACCAGTAGGGGCGAGGAGAAGCGTGAAAGGCAGGGCGAGGCAGGGCCTCGGTGTGGAGCTCCACCCTCAGGATGCTGGGCTGCTCTGGAGGAAGAAGGGAGACCCTCTCCCCCAAGCCGATCCGAGCGGGTGGCCCTTTGAAAGGAAAGCGGGGGAAATGCCCTGAAGAAGCACACAAGAGGCTGTGTGCTCTCCCCCTGCTGCCAGAAAAGAGCTTTTGCAGAAAGGGGGAGGGGAAAAGACATGCTTTTTTGCAGCTTCCCCGGCTGGACGAGACAGAAAGAAGGGTACTTAAAGGGGAAGGTTGAAGAAGAGGAGGAGATTGGATTTATACCCCGCCCTTCACTACCCAAAGGTGTCTCAGAGCGGCTTACAATCTCCTTTCCCTTCCCCTCCCCACAACAGACACCCTTTGAGGTAGGTGGGGCTGAGAGAGCTCTGACAGAAACTGCTCTTTTTCCAGAACAGCTCTTATCAGAGCTACGGCTGGCCCAAGGTCATCCAGCCAGGTGCAAGTGGAGGAGTGGGGAATCGACCCGGTTCTCCCAGATTAGAGTCCGCGCACTTAACCACTACACCAAACTGGCTTACACCCAAACATAGGCTGGGGTGGGGCACTGAAGGTTTGATAAAGGGTGCGCCCCCTGCTGGCTACAGGCTTGGCCCATGGGCACCACGTTGGGGACCCCTCCTTTAGAGCTTCCAATATGGGAACTTCCCCCCTCCCACTCCTATTTGGTCAGGAGGCACAGAAGTCTGCTTCATGGCTGTTACAAAATGGGGGGGACACCCATTACCTTCTTGCTAGTTTTCCTACCCTTTCGCTACCCTTTGTACCTGGCGCTTATTCCAAGAGCTGGCGTCTTCTCCTAGCAACCTCTGCCTCTCTGAACCTTCTGAACTTGCTGAGATGAACTTAGGAGTCAGGTACTTGCTGGCCTGTTTAAGCAGCAACTGCAACACACAACTGCACTTTGTCTAGGCTCACGGGACAGGGAGTTGTCCGGTCGCTTGGCGAAAGTGAGTGACTCACATTGTTAACAGGTCAAGGGAGTGACACACACACACAGGAGGAGGTAAGGAAGGTTTACGGGTTTTTTTAAATAAAGCATTTGAACTTCCCCCCTTTAACGTTTATCGAAAAGCAATTTTCGTCATTAAGGAAGTTGAAAGAGAAGTGCCAGCACTAGAATGTCAACAAGTAGTCGTCTCACGAGGAGGAAGTGAAAGGTCAAATCGGAAACGGGAGATCCTTAGACCCGGGCTGAGCTCCGTGCTATTGGCAGGGCAGCTGCAAAGGTGTGAGGCTGGTCAAATACGGGGAAAGGAGCGGGGAGACCAGGCAATAGGGAAGCTGAGACACAGGAGGCATGGGTCACAACAGGCAATGGACTGAGGGAAGTGTGAGTGCGGGATGCAGAAGTTCGGAAGAGGTCTAGCAACAGGAGGGACAATGCTGTGTTGGGGGAATGAACAGATAAGCCAGAGCATACAGGCTGTGAGAACATGGCCCATACAGAGGGGTGGTGTATGGAGGCTGAACGTCCCAGGTAGATTTCAGATAACCAGATTGCTGATCTCAGGTGTGGTGTTTGTAAAGCTTCCCTTCCTTGCGTCTTTGCACGTGAGCCCTAAAGCTGGAGGAAGAGGCCAAAATGCTTTCCCCAGCAACTGGGAAAGGGAACAGCCCCGGAGCCCAACGCTAAGCATGACTAGCAGCGATGCTGCTGACTCTGGAAGCAAGCAAGAGACTTCTCTCTCTAGAGATGCAGTTGAGCCGTAGGAGGGGAGCGATACCTGGGGAGTGGGTTCCACGGACGGTTGCAGCACGGCCGGTTGCGAAGGCCCCGTGGGCTGCATCGCCGGGGTAGTCTGAGCCACATTCGTCTATGAGAGAGGGAGGGAGGGAAAAGGTCAGAAGAGGACGATGACTTCCCAGTCCTGAATTTTTTTAGAGTCGGAAGAATTCATTTCCCCTCAATGGAAAAACTACATCAAATGGATTTGATTACCAATCTAGATCTATTCAACCACCACTGCTGTACTTACGCTATTAGCACAATTAATTCATCAATTATCTTTTCCTTATGCTCTGCCTGAATTGGTTATAACATTTAAGTGTCACCTCAGTATTGTTCCAAAAGTTGCAACTTTAAGTATCACCTTGATAGAAAGATTAAGTTGATTAAGTTTATTTATACTGCACTAATTTCTAACTCTACCAGTTTGCATTGTATGTTACATTTTGGGATATCAAACTTTTATATATTGTATAAACGTTATGTTTATACAATAATGGCGGAAAACATTTAATGGCGGAAAACAAAATCTCCCCCATCTCACATTGTTATTACTATTCTTGTAATTGTTATTAATGCCTGCTCACCAATTATTTCAATAAAAATTGTCAATTTTAAAAAAAGAAGAGGACGATGACAGCGTCCATGTGCCTCTTGGTTCTGCGACTGTGACCACATCACCCAGCAGGTCTCCCGAGTAAAGGACAGACCCAAAGCCATCCTAACAAAGACCCTTATTGACACACACCACATGAACACAGGAAGCTGCCTTCTAGTGACTCAGAGCCTTAAGAACTTAACAGAAGCCATGTTAGATCAGACCAATGGCCCATCCAATCTTACACTCTGGGTCACACAGTGGCCCAAAACCCAGGTGCCATCAGAAGGTCCACCAGTGGGGCCAGAACTCCAGGAGCCCTCCCACTGTGCCTCCCAAGCACCAAGAATACAGAATATCACTGCCTCAGACAGAGTGTTTTATCTAAACGTAAAGGTTTCCCTTGCTTGAAAGCCAGTCGAATCTGACTCTAGGGGGTGGTCTCATCTCAGTTTCCAAGCTGAAGAGCCAGCGCTGTCTGGAGACGTCTCCGTGGTCACGTGACCGGCATGACCAAACGCCGAGGCGCACAGAACGCTGTTACGTTCCCTCTGAAGTAGTTCCTATTTATCTAATTGCAATTTCTTGCTTTCAAACTGCTAGGTTGGTAGGAGCTGGGGCCAGAGATGGGAGCTCACTCCGTCACGCGGCACTAAGGTCTCGGACTGCTGAGCTACCGACCTTCCGGTCTGCAGCTCAGTGTCTTAACCACTGAGCCAACGTGGCCATCTATACCTTGTTACTAATAGCCACTGATAGACCTCTGCTCCATATATTTATCCCTCTTAGCGCTGTCTATGCTTGTAAATCCTCTCTTGAAGCTGTCTACGCTTGGTTCATCAAAGAAGAGATTGGATTTATACCCCGCCCTTCACAACCCAAAGGTGTCTCAGAGCGGCTTACAAACTCCTCTCCCTCCCCCTCCCCACAACAGACACCCTGTGAGGCTAGTGGGGCTGACAGAGCTCTGATAGAAACGGCTCTTTTTTTCAAGAACAGCTCTTATCAGAACTATGGCTTGCCCAAGGTCATCCAGCCAGGTGCAAGTGGAGAAGTGGGGAATCAAACCCGGTTCTCCCAGATTACAGTTCGTGCACTTAACCACCACACCAAACTGGCTCTCAAGGTCAGTACTGGCTACTCAGGCTAGCAGCAGCTCTCAAAGGTCCCAGGCAGAGGTCCTTCCCATCACCTACTGCTTGGTCCTTTTAACCGGAGATGCCAGGGATTGAACCTGGGACCTTCTGTTTGCCAAGCAGATGCTCTAGCACTGAGCCATGGTCACTCCCCAGTTGCAGAGTCTGGTCAGGGGCCAACATACCTGAGGGACCGCCATATGTACCCCGGCGGGCACTGCGTTCAGGGTCACAACATTGATTGACCCCCCCTAGGCCCTGAAGACGCCAAATTGGCAACAACTAGGGCCAGGGCGTTCTCGGTGGTGGCTCCATACTGGTGGAATCAGCTCCCAGAAGAGATCAGGGCTCTGCGGGACCTGCTACAGTTCCGCACGGCCTGCAAGACGGAGCTCTTCCACCAGGCCTTCGATTAGGGAGCCGCCACCATCACCATTATCTACATCACTATTAAAGAGATGCCCGACTCCACCATTACAGCCTGCGCCAGTCGTATATACACGGCAAAGATTGAAAACCGAAGAATAAAGTAACCGTTGCCGTCGTCCCTAATATATTCATTACAATTAGCTAGCACCAATGCTCCCTCTAAGCTGTGGAGTCTTGTGAGCAAAAAATCTACTTTGTGAGCTCCCGGCATTAAAGCTGTGAGCGAGCGATTTGGCTACTGCATAAATTAGTTTGCTCTGGAGCCGTCCCTTCCTGAGCGAAGGCAAAAACGTGTGAGCCGGAGGCTAAAAAACTGTGAGCTAGCTCGCACTCACTCAGCTTAGAGGGAACACTGGCCTAGCACCTTATGTTTTAAACTGTTTTTAGACGGTTTTATCTGTGTTATAATTGTTTATGTTATTCTTGTAAGCCGCTCTGAGCCTGCCTTGGTGGGGAGGGCGGGGTATAAGTCAAACAAATAAAACAGAATAAATAAAAATAAATAAAGCTCGTCCCATGCTGGAATTAAAGACGAATCAGTTTTGAAAACACAAACACACACAAACCACATGGGGAACATCAGCCCTGTCAGAGGACTGCATTAAGAGTGGTGGAAGGGGTGACGGCTACAAGCATGGACGGCTTCAAAACGGAATTAGATAAGCATCTGGAGCAGAGGTCCATCAGTGGCTATTAGCCACAAGGTATAGATAGGGGCTCTGGGGCAAGGGATGCTCTGTCTTCTTGGTGCTTGGGGGGGGGGCAACAGTGGGAGGGCTTCTAATGTCCTGGCCCCACTGGTGGACCTCCTGATGGCACCTGGTATTTTTGGCCACTGTGTGACAGAGTGTTGGACTGGATGGGCCTTTGGCCTGATCCGACATTGGCGTCTCTTATGTTCTTATGTTCTTAAGAGGCTTTGGAACCTGTGTAGGTTTATGAACAGCCCGCGTGGTAGAGTGGTTGGATCACTGGACAAGGATATGGGAAAGCCAAACCCCGTTCTGCTATGATACAATCTGGCTGACCGTAGGCCAATCGCTCTCCCATCCTGACCTACCTTATAAGACTGTTGTGGGCATAAAATGCGAGGGGGGAGACCCACGTACACCACCCTGAGCTCCCTGGGGAAACGTGCATGCGCATAACGTGCCATCAAGTTGCAGCTGACTCATGGCAACCCTGCATGGGGGTTTTCGAGGCAAGGGACTTTCAGAGGTGGCTTGCCACTTGCCTGCCTCTGCGTAGCAACCCTGGGCTTCCTTGGTGGCCTCCCATCCGAGGAGTAGCCAGGGTCAGGCAAGATGAAGAGGTCTCAGACAAGATCAAAATGTATTTATCTCATATCTTCCCGCCCTGCCCTTCTTCCAAGGAACTCAGAATGACACACAAGACTCTCCTTTTTTCATCTTCACAACAAACCCTGTCGGGCTCAGAAAGTGACTAGACCAAGATCGTCCATGTGACAGAACTCAGTTGGAGTCCAGTGGCACCTTTAAGACCAACACAGTTTAATAAGCTTTCGTGTGCATCTGAAGAAGGGTGCATGCACATGAAAGCTAATACCCGGAATTAAACTTTGTTGGTCTTGAAGGTGCCACTAGAGATGTGAAGGCCCGGGAAAAAAACGGAAAAATTCGGGGGGAAACCGGGTTTTTTCTGTTTTTTCCCTGAAGCCTTTTTTGTTTTTTTCCGAAAAATTGGAAAAAAAGACAAAAAGAAAAGAAAAAAATTGATTATGGAACGTTTTATTTTAACAGGATGAATAAAATATTTTATGACAAGGTGTTCAAATATTTTCCAAATCATTTCTAAAAAATACGTATTGATCTAATTTCTGTGTACTGGGGACAAGCAAGTCCTAGGTTACAAACTGAACTCTCCAATGCAAGAACAAGATGCATTTCTTCCTTTAGGAGGTGCTATTGTCAGAAGAAAATAAAAAGGTTTCAGTTTTGTGTTTGCGTGTGGGTGGGTATTCTGTTTGTAATAATTGTTTGGATACACTATATTTTTAATATGCTAGTTGTGATAATTTCATGCCAAGTAAAAATGTCCATAGTTATATTTTATGTTCCTAAAGTAACAGAATGACTTTCAATCTAGAAAAGACAAAAGAAATGCTAATGTAGCATTTTTTTTCAATTTTTCCGAAAATTTCCGTTTTTTCCGGAAAAAACCTGGGGGGAAAAACGGGTTTTTGTTCCGAGCTTCAAAATTTCCAGAAATTTTACATCTCTAGGTGCCACTGGACTCAAACTTTGTTCTGTTGCTTCAGACCAACAGGGCTACCCCACCTGAATCTGTAGTCCAAGTAAGGTTTGGGGGAAATGGGAATCCGAACCGGGGATTCCCAGGTAACTCAACAGTCAGTTGTCTGGATAAGCTCATAAGCTCAAGAATTCTCTTTCCAACCATTTGGGTGCCTATTCTTCACCCTCCCCGCCCGTCCCAACCATGCAATGCCCTTCACCATCTCATGGGCGCAACAGTAAGGGGCTGAAAGCTCCCACCCCCTTTACCGGTCTACCCTTGAATAGTTGAAACAATGCTGTTTTTCAAGAACAGTGATGTTTAACGCCAGAGGCTTTCCTCCTCTGGACAGGTCAACACTGCAGTGTCCTGCCATTCTGAGCAGACCCTTCCGGGGCAGCTGCCCCGGGAACCCGATCCGAGGCTGCACTTACCAGCCGAGAGCTCTCGGTGAAGGGGTTGAATTCATCCAGGCCTCCCTGGTTCGCGTTCGTCAACTGGGTGACTGAAGGATCCTGAAAGAGAAGGGTGGATGGGTGGATACCAAGATGATTTAATGCAGACACCTTCTAAGAAGAATCTCAAAACTGGGTGTGCACGCAGGTAGGCCGAGGACAGAAAGCCATATTTCTTTTCTCTGGACAGGGACGCTGCCCAGTGCCGCCTCGAATACCGTAGACCAGTGTTCCCTCTGAGCCGAGTCAGTGTGAGCTAGCTCACAGTTTTTTAGCCTCCGGCTCACACATTTTTGTCTTAGCTCAGGAAGGATGGCTCCAGAGCAAACTAATTTATGCAGTAGCCAAATTGCTTGCTCACAACTTTAATGCCAGTAGCTCACAAAGAAGAATTTTTGCTCACAAGACTCCACAGCTTAGAGGGAGCATTGCCGTAGACCAATGCTCCCTCTAAGCTGTGGAGTCTTGTGAGCAAAAATCAGACTTGGTCAGCTACTGGCATTAAAGTTGTGAGCGAGCCATTTGGCTACTACATAAATGAGTTTGCTCTACAGCC